GGAGGAGAACACAAATCAACTTTCATCTTTCAAAATAGCCAAGCGGGTCCCTCTCGAAATTAGTGCCAAAGTCTGCCATTTAACTTAGTTTATCCAGTTTTTCCAACAATTATTTGATCGGGTCCACTCTTGAAATTGTTAATCAAAATCAATCGATAAAATAATTTACAGAATAGGTTCAGATCAGCATCAGTTTTCCATCAGAATAAGAAAATTTTCTTATTTTTCATGAAATGTAGTTGTTAAGGATCTTGATTCTTTGAATTTTTCATGTAGCAATAAACAAAATGGAATGGAGGAAAAGGATTCGTGTAGCCAAACCAAATTATTCGAAATAAGGCTTGGAGAATGTTTGGCAAGTCTTTTAATAGATTATAAGTTGTGGGTCTTAAGAAATGCATAGACAATAAGTGGGTAAAAGTACGTAGAAGTTCTCCAAAGTGTGTGGAAGAGTTTAATAAGTTTATAAGCAATTATAAACTTTGCCAAACATCCACTTAGTCTCTTGTTGTAAATGTGTTGTGTTGAGCTTTATAATGCAAGAAAAGTTGTATGAACTTCAAGTTGAATTTATTTGCAATTTTTAACTTTAATAGCACAGAAAAGCTAGATGAAATAAAACAAAAAAAAGGAAAGACAACAGTCAGAAAATTATAGGAGAAACATAGTAGTGAAGTTGCATATCACAAGCCTTCTCTTGCTGCTTGTCTGCCACCATGAAGGTGCAGATTAACTTGGAGAGGGCTGCAGTTCTAGGAGTAGTGGGCTAAAGCACGGGCTTTTCACTCGTACTCTTTATCTAATCTCTATCTGTTTCTAATGTTTTGGGTTCGACTGCATTTAAAACCAAAAAGAATAAATGTTTTGGGCTATGAAAAAACCAGCCCAAAAACTTGAAGCTGGTAGAAAAGCATCAAGAAAGGCAAACGTGTGACTCTGCCGCCCTGAGGCATGCACGTTAAGGTGTAAGACTTGACAAAAGACACACAAAGCTTAAGCAATCATAAAAATTTGAAAATATTTAATAGTATAAAAGCCTTGCCTGCTGTCTAGCAGCATTTTCTCTGAAAACTAAGTGTTGTTTTATTTTGTACAGGATCTGGTCAGCATACTTTTGTTCTCGCTCTGGGATAGGGGTGTCCAAAAGTCCCGAACCGAACCGAATCAAACCGAACCCGAACCCAACAGAACCAAGCGGTTCTTCATAAATTAAATACCCGAATGGGTACCCGAATCGAGAACTGATGAGTTTGGGTTGGGTCTCAGGTCTAGACCAAGAACC